TTCACACACGAGGATGTTCATTTTCTAAAGAAGTGTTTGTTGTATCAACAATCCACACCTCGTAGGTCAGACAGCGCTGCATGTCGCTATTGAAAGAAGAAGCTTTGACCATGTGAAGCTGCTGGTGCAGAAAGGAGCCGACGTTCAGGCCAAGGCCAATGGAACCTTCTTTCAGTGTGACGTAGGACCTGGCTTTTATTTTGGTGAGTCACATGCTTAATACAACCAGAAGCTGTTTGTATCAATAGTTACAGTTCAACATAGGAACGAATTTCAAGCAAACACGTGTTAAGTCTTCATGGGTTTGAGTCCATCTGCTTCGTTTTACTGCACATACTTCACGTGGCCGTACATTTGTACTGCAGGAGAACTTCCTCTGTCTTTGGCCGCCTGCACCAACCAACCCACCATTGTGACCTTCCTCATGGAGAACCCTTACAGAAGAGCAGATGTGACCGACCAGGACTCACGAGGAAACACTGTCCTGCACACCCTGGTGGTCATAGCTGACAACACAGCAGAAAACACTGAAATGTTCGCCAATATGTACGATCAGATACTCATCCAGCACAACAATCTTGACAATACAACAAACGTCAGTCTGGAGGAAATAGAAAACAACCAGGGGTTGACTCCACTGAAGTTAGCAGCCAAGCTGGGGAAGATTGGGGTAGGTCTGTTTTTATGCAAAACCTGTTGGTACAATATACAAAACAAGACTACAGTTTACTGTTTATATATCATTTTGACACTGTCATTCTAATAAACAGTCAGTCCGTTTGTTTAACTCTTCTGTGTCAGCGGTGTTGTGAAATTACCACATGATGAGAGATTAAAAATGTTTGCATGTCAACACTGGCCGCAAAACATCATATGACCTGTAAACAATTAAGGCTCCGTGAAAAATTTCTTAAACCGATGTTTGAATTTCATTAGTTTATAACATGTTAAAACACATTTTAGAGGTGTCTCACATCTTTCGCAAGTTTTTTTTTGTGGTATTCTTGCCAAAAATTGAGCTGTGTTGCATTTTATTTCATCAGCTTTTTCCACCACCAAATGAACTAATTTGAAATGTGAGTGAAGAGATTGTTTTTTTAATCAAACATAAATTAACTCACTAGTTAAACAGGAACCTTCACAAGTGAACTTTGATGACAAATTCTTCAAGTTTTATGAACAATATTTTTTTTTAATTGGCTTAAAACTTTTCCTCACCCTCACATGGACTAACAATATGTAACAGAAAGTAAAGTCTGTCATCAGTTAATTGTCTTTTCTTCTCCTCACAGTTATTTAAGCACATTTTACAGAGGGAATTTGTTGGAAAGGAAATGAGGCCGCTCTCCAGAAAAATCACAGAGTGGGTTTACGGCCCTGTTCACTCCTCCCTCTATGACATCAGCTCTGTTGACACCAACGAAGACAACTCTGTGTTGGACATCATTGTCTTTGGGAGTGAAATGCCGGTAAGAAATTAATATTTTGTCAATATTTACCAATAATTCTCTTTTTGTCAACCACTTAAATACACAACATAACACCGTAATGACAAAACAGTCAAGAAGGCAGCCATGGAATGTAGTAGAAACTACAGGTCACAGTACATAGTGATGTGTTTTCTCTTCTCCACTCTTGTCTTCATTTTGCCTCAGACTGTGAAATCACAAATATCCAGACAGATGACTCTGTCAGAGTATTAGCAGGTTTCACGTGAGCCCATTGCAAGTTGTCCGTATTTGCTTGAAGAGTAGCTGTGAAATCACTCGTGAGTCACCACAGTGGTCAGAGCCAATGGTTGATTACAGGAAACTAGTCCTTTAGGCACAACCAGTGACTTTCTGTTCTCTGTTTAAATGTTTACATTTTTTTATATTTGACTGTATTTATTGTTTCTGTAAATTATTCACTGGCTTATTTGGCCACAAATGTCGTTGTATTGTTTGAATGAAAACTATTCTATTTGATTCTTACTTGATGAAGCGCAGCAGGCAATATTATCTGACTTTAATACAGTAAACGTGAATATGAATATTCTTGAACATCTCTGCAGAATCGTCCAGAGATGCTCCAGGTGGAGCCTCTGCGCAGTCTTCTCAACTACAAATGGGACAAATTTGCCTCCAAGTTATTCTTTATACATTTCCTGGTGTATGTGTTTTACCTGGTCATCTTCACCACCGTGGCCTGTTACAGGAAGGAGGGGGAGGTAAGACCGAACAAGAATGTCCCTGAAAAAAAAACAAAAAGAAGATCTCTGAAATAAGATGCAATTTGTTATTGATCTGTGCCTCACCTGGTGGAACTCCATATATATATATATAACAACAGAGCCAATAATCATGTGTTTTTGACTGTGTTCACTGCAGTCACTGTCACAGGTGCAACAGTGCCCTCTACATTATTTTATAGTCCACAGGTTAATGACTTGCTTACAGAGATTCATCACTTTCCCTGCAGCCAAATATTTAGACATTAAATGGTGAATAATAAATAATCCAACTTCAAACCAAGATGAGGAAACCCAATATTCATCACAAAATCAAACAGAGATTCATCACTTTCCCTGCAGCCACCGTTTCCCATTGAAAACGTCATAGTTGACTCCTTCCGCCTCATCGGCGAGCTCATCAGTGTCCTTGGAGCAGTGTGGTTTCTATACAAAGCGGTGAGAAATCAACAAAACACGTCCTGATAATCCACACGTCTACATGTTCTCACGTGTTTGACGTGATGTGCTTCAACAGATAACTATATTCAGAAGAAACCCACCAAACTTCAACTCTTTGTACACTGATGGGATCTGTGACATTCTGTTGTAAGTAAACTGTTGTAAGTGCATGTAAACTATTTATTATTATTGTTCTCTGAAACCTCTCCGTCTTGTTTCCAGTTTCCTGCAGGCAATACTTGTGTTGATCAGTGCAATTTTGTACGTCTGTGGACAGAGAGAGTACGTGGGGCTCCTGGTCCTGTCACTGGCTCTGGCCTGGATTAATGTCCTGTACTACTCCAGAGGCTCCAAACACATGGGCCTCTACAGTGTCATGATGCAAAGAGTATGACTTTTTTTTGCCTTCAATTTAGTTAACACAAAGAATTGTCAGTAAAAAATAAGGTAAGAGCCCTGATAACGATAAAAGTAACGCTAACCTGCTAAGTGAATAAGGTAAGATAACAATAAAAGTAACGCTAACCTGCTAAGTGATGAAACTTGTAAGACTGAATTTGTTACATGCAACATCATACAGAGCACAATGTGCAGTAAAGGCACAATGTCTTACAATGTCTTTTTATAACAAAAATCTTGTTGAACATAGTTTCTAGTTTCTACTTGAACCCATCTGACATTCTGACCACCACTCCTTAAATTCATAAAGTAAATTCAGCCCTAACCTTTGTTTCTGCCCGATGGTACGGTACCAAAAAAGAAAACAGAAAAGTATTGTGACTGAATAGCATGCTCTGATCTAGCGTTTGTATAAACTACTGCCAGTGTGTAATGTTTTTGTTTGCTAACCTCTATGAATGTTTTTATTGTAGATGATCCTTGGTGACCTGTTGACATTTTTATGTGTCTATTTAGTTTTGTTGGTTGGATTTTCTGCAGGTAAAACTACTATTGACTCCAGTGTAAACTCATTACAGAGATGACAAAGTTTCATTTATAATTATCGTCTTTTCCGCAGCCATTGTTTCTCTAATGGAGGATTCCACCTCAGCTCAACAGCTCAACCAAAAGAATGACTCACTGCCTCGAGGAAGGAGCTTTGACGTTGAGACATTTCTGTGCAAAAAGCCAACTTACAACGACCTGCGGTTCACAATACTGGAGCTGTTCAAATTCACGATTGGAATGGGGGATTTGGAGTTTACTGACCATGTTCAATATAAGGAAGTTTTCTACATCCTGCTCATCTCCTACATTGTCCTGACTTACATCCTGCTGCTCAACATGCTCATCGCTCTGATGGGAAACACCGTTGAAAGAATCTCCAAGGAGAATGTCGACATCTGGAACCTGCAGGTGGGATGTTGTTGTTGTTGTTGTTGTTGTTGTTGTTGTTGTGAGAATGACTGTAACTTACTGTTACAAAAAGTTTGGGTATTGTTTATAAAATCCATAAATGCTGCCTTGTGTTATCACTACATTTACAGCTTCAAATTTTTTTAAATAATTCATAATATAAAATTGCATCCAGTGGTAAATAGAAACCATTTTATACCAAATTAATTTTCTTCTTTTAGCTCCTAAGCACCTATAGAAATGTAACAAATGAATCTGAAAATTATTTTACTTATTCTTCACATTAATATTCTTACCTTTTTTGTGTTAACAATGATTCTGTTTTCTGTGGATCATTTGTAACATTTTCTGTCATAAATACCCAGAAAGCCTCAACCATTCTGGACATAGAGAGGGATCTGCCGCAGAGACTGAGGAGAAAACCGTTTTTCAAAGAGTCCAGAATGGTGTATTTCAAACTTCATGAAAATGATGAGCGTAGGAGATTTCTCAGGTAAACTGTAACAAACATTGGTGTGAAAAGAACCATGGTGTTCCTAACTGGAGTATTAACATCGCCTGTTTTCACCTCGTCATGAACTGGAGACAGTGGAGGTCAGACCTGGGTGTGGTCCAAGAGGAAGATCCAGGGAATCCCATAATAAAACCTCAGACTCCATCACCAGGTGAGACGTCACACACACACACACACACACACACACACACACACACACACAGACACACCCCAGAGTGTTGCCCACTAACATGAGTCTGTTATTTCATTTGCCAGCGAAACGGTGGAACCTGAATCCCCTTTTGGACAGAATCCGTTCCAGACGTGTCCTACAACAGCAGACCAGTTATCCCTGAGTTCATTTATAATCAATAATAATAGGTCTGAACATCTGTGGAACGTTTGCAAACAGACGCAGCATCCTTCCTGCTTGTAAAAATTGTGTTTATTTTTATATTTACTGCTTATTTAATGGAGTAAACTGTGAATTAATGAACCTGTGAATGTCTTTAAATTCCAGTGGTGTCACCTGAGGCTGACAGACTCTTGTGACTAATGCATCAGGTGCTCATGGAACACTGTTGGTTTTTTTTTTCTTTTTTGTTTTTTGGTTGTTTTTGTTTGTTTTTTAAACATGATGTGATATGACTTTGTTTTCAGCGTCACCTCCTGCCGTTGTCTTACTTCAAACCAACCACCTGGCGGTGTCTTTGCATTTTCAAATAACATTTTAAATAATGTGTGACTTCTGTAAATTGGAGACTCTTAAGTGGCCAGAGGTTTGTATGCGTGTGTTAGGTTGTGTTTATTTGTAACCTGGTAAACCTGTTCAGACTCTACCCAGTGTTTTTCCAATTAGCAGCCGAGACTGACTTTCTCTTCCACTTTAGATGGACACTGTTGAAGTTTCAATATTTGTCCACCCACCATTTCAGAAGAGTCTGTGGATCAATGTGTAGTACCATTCAGTTGTCGTTAAAATATAAAATGATTATATATATGAAAATAGAATTTTAATTCTTTTCTAATGTTTTGAAATTGTGATGTTATAAAAAGACATTGTTTTAAAAACAGCTACTATTCAAATAAACCAAAAGTGCCCTTGAGGTCAGTCGTTAATGATAGTAATAAAAAAAGGTTTTATTTGTGGGGCTGCAGTACCGATGTGGGCCAGCAGGTGTTGACTCCAAAAAACACTTACAATGGCATCCGTTCAACTTCTCCCATAACTATTTTCTCACTAATAATCGTCTTTCCATTAAATTCACCAACTCACACAATTATTTTTATGATTAATTGAAAATGATTATAAGAAGAATGTACAAATAAATGTTGAATGAATGAATGAATTACAACCTTCGGTCAGACTACAATAATGTTATTAGTTGTAACAGTTAGTTGTTTGTTCATTCAATAAATATTTAATTTATTAATTATTTCTTTTGGTTTGTTTTTGCAAACCATTAAACAGGCAGTGTAATTACAGTTTGACCAGGAGTACAGGGAGGTGAACGTCGTCACACTAGCAGCGACGTTCTTCTCTCTTTCCAGCTATGTTATTTATACAGTGATCAATGTAAATGGTTCACTGAACTCTCTGTGACAGTGAAAGTGTGTCTTATTCCAAACAGTATCAAAGAAACCCTAAGGTTTAAAGGTTAAATTCCATACAAAAGTTTGTGTGCGTGCGTGCGTGTGTGTGTGTGCACATGTGTGTGTGTCCTTGATCTGTAAGCACACTTCCTGTTTGACATGTTTTACCAGGTGTGTCACAGCATGAATACCGGCTCCTGGTTTCATTTGGTGTCTACGTAAACAGCACACAGGTAAGTGTGTGTAGAGGGCGGGGGTCACCAGGTACTTTGAGGAGGAATTATGTGTTAACGCTAGACTTTTCTCCCCCACCTCAAGTGTGTGTGTGTGTGTGTGTGTGATCACAGATTGCTCCGCTCACATTTGCACAGTAATCTCTAGCTGAACCTGTCTGTTAGGTGTGGACTGCCTGGCTGACACTGACTCGTGTGAGTATGAAGAGAAGACGGCCACAGTACTGAGAGGGAAGAAGGAACGTCTGCGCTCTGTTAGCACAAAAAGACAGCGAAAAGGGGGAAACTTCCAGAACAAGAAGACAGCAGGTGCACGGTGCCAGACTGGAGCTTCAAAATGTGAGACAACCAGGAGGAGACTTTTCTTCTATGGTTCGACCGATGGATCTGGGATTCTAATGTGGCAGTTCAGGCTCTGGGATGTTCAAGATGTTGCTCTGTTTCTCAGCATGGCAATATATATCTGTGACCTAGGTAAGCAAATCCAACACACCCAACACAAAAGGGGTAGACCTGGTTTTCCCTGGTATTTTCTTACTGGAAATTCTATATTTATGAAAGGCTGAGGTCAGGATGTTTGTGGTATTAGGTCGTAGACAGATTGCATAATCAAAGAAAAGGTTTAAAGTTGGCTGTAAAATTAATAATATGAGGGTATTGTTAATAATCAACAATAAAACATAAATCATAAATATGCTCCCTGGGCAAAAACTGACAGCTGTTCTTCACTGTTTGGAACACCTGCATTTACCACACTGACGGTTTCAGGCGGTCTTTTGATAATGTAGTCAGAACCTAAGAAATAACCTGTTAGAAATTATATTCTGTCTTAAATGTGTCAAAATCAAAGAAACACTATACAACTTGATGTAAAGCTAGACCATGTCTTTTATGTGATCTTTCTAAAACGGTGGGTTGTGTCCCCAAACTGTCTTATCTGGATCAATTTAGTAACACAGTAACACAACATTTATTCATCTCTGATGGTCGGGCAGCCAGACATTTGTTTCAAAAACATTTATTCATCTTTGATGGTCGGGCAGCCAGACATTTGTTTGCTTTGAATTCCCCAGCAGCAGAAAGGGTTAAGTGACCAACTGTGAGTGAATGTGGCTGTACACATGCACGTGGCTTTAGAAAAATCGATCAATCCTCTGCGCAGAGTAACATAGAATGTAAGTGTTGTTTGTTCTTTAATTGAGTGTGAAGTCGAAACGGAAGAAGACATTTTTCCCACACGGACAGTCTGAGTCAGCACAGCTATTGTCAGAGAGATTCTTAAACCGTGTTTCATCAGGCAAAGGACGCACCAGCAGAACCAGATCCCCCACTAAGTTACCTGTAACAGGTATTTGATCACTGGTGGCCACAGCAGGTGTTTATGCTAAAATGTTTCTATTTCTTTTTCAGCTTGTTTGACAAGTTTGTTTCCTCTAGCAAAGCTCAGAGGTGAAATAGAACACAAAGCTTTGACTAAACAGAACCTAGAGCAAAAACAGGGTTCTGTGTTGATCTGGGTCATGTGTCAACATTTCCTTTTACGGAGCTGTATTGTTTTTTCTGTAGCTGTCACGATATTGGATGAAAGGTTAAACATTAGCTCTAAACGAAAAAGGTAGTAGGTGATCAGGCACCGTGATTAAACAGGACACTGTTGTTACTGGATTTGCTCTGGAGCTGTTCGGATGATTCTGGCTTTAAAAAGACACATAACTGAAAATAAAAACTAATAACATAGTCTCTATTCTGCTACGTAGACTCTTTTCCTCCCCCTGCTGTTGAAACAAAGCTAAAAGGAGTGTCGGTAAAAACCTGGTCCCACAACAAGGTCAACCCTTCAAATTGGTGTTATGTTCATCAGCAGCATTTTCTAATATGCTGGTCTAGTCTTTCATGGTCTGTAGTATTTGTAGTACTGTCATATGTACCATCTTCAAAGTATGGAAATCAAAGGGTGGCTGCGGCTCAGTCATGATTAATCACAATCTCAATCGAGATAAATCAACATTCCCATATATGACATATATATATATATATAGGCGTCACAGGAAAACAAACATCAGGTAGATGTATGTGCTTTTATTAGTGACTCATTTAAAGCTCACATGACTCGTTTTGATTATCTAGCACCTTTTACAAACATCTCATTTAACTGTATATTTCTTTCTAGTAGAAAGTAGTAAGACAACTTAGTAAACACAAACATTGACTTTAATAAATGCTACAGATGACTGTGACGTACTTTTATCCACGTGTTTGATGTACAAATAATTATTATTACAGTCATATGTATTTTTATTTGACTCCTCAATATCTACTGTATTCAAACGTTCATTTTTCTTTACTCTTTTCTTTTCTTTTCTCGTCCTCTGAAGCTGGAGCCATCTCCATCCACAGTGCCCAGAGAAGCCTCACCAGATCAGTGCAGGAGGACGTCTTTTTCTCAGTGGACGTTTCCTGCGGTGGGATCCCCACCATAGAATGGAACTTTATGTCAGGTGTGGTCAGCCGCACCATAGGGACATGGCAGCCAGGGGTTTACACCAACATAACTGTGGATTACAGCAGCAGAGTGCAGGCCTACAACAATGGCTCCATGGGCCTGTCAGACCTGCGGCTGCAGGACGCAGGATACTACGTCATCACTGTCACAGAAGCGACAGGAAGCAGCAAAGACAGCGGCTTCGTCCTCAAAGTAAATGGTTAGTTTGTGTTTCTCTCGCACCAAATTAGTACGATTGGTCAGTCTAAATGGTCTTTATTTGAAATGGCTCTAAGGGTAAAATACGAAAGAAATAAAATATGTGCGTGTGTATTTATATATATATTTATATATACACACATATTTTCCTTTAGGTAAATTGATCTTTTGACCATTTCAGAGTCTCATGTCTTGCCCCTGTGTCTCTGTGTCCTCCAGAGGTTCTGTACGAGGACCTTCAGTACCTCTCCATCTCTGTCGTGGCTCTGGCTGCTGCGGCTGCTCTCCTCATGCTGATCATGTGGCTTCTGGACAAGGTTTACAGGAGGATTGTGGCATGGAGACGCCGGAGACGGATGCCAGGTAAAGTGAAGCAACTGTGCGTTGAGTGGGAACGTGGGCTGAAAGTGGTGTTGGGTGTGTGTTAAGTACAAAGGTCTACAGACCGAGTGGTCCCAGGGCTGTTTACTTATCAAGTTTAATTCCTTCTCCATGCAGAGAATAATGAGACAGAGCTGCAGCCTCTCTGAGGGACGACACACATGAAGACACACCAGTGCTGCTACAAAGGACCGTTGGTTTTACTGCTACTTGTTGTGTACATAGAACTTTCCTGAATATACGTCAGACAAAACGGGATTGAATGTAAATATCTCACACACAGTGATATAAAAATAAATCTTGTATTTATTATTACCATAATTAACGGTGATATTTGATTCTGAATTTTTTTTCTTGTGTACGTCAACATTTCCCATCATCTATATAGAAGCACTGTCAAATGAATAAAACTTTTATTCAGTTTCTTTATGATATTAAGGTATGTTATTAATGATGAAATATTAATTATTGTGATTGTAATTAACCATGATTTATCATGATTCATTTTTTTTCCATTTCTGGAACAGAAAGACAAAAAACAGCAGATAGGTGTATGTTTCATGACTAATCCAAATGATGGAAAGCCTGCACTCACACTAGTGTGTGAAGTGTAGTCCCAGAAGTCATGTCACTAAATCAGACAACGTTAAAAAAAATGGTTTTATTATAATCTTCTGTTCCATTTACACTTGTGTGAAAATACACAGCAAATCAAGGACAGGGAGTCAGAGCAGCCATGAGGAGCTCCATCTTGTAGACAAAGTTCCGTCCCTCCATCTTGCTCCAGTGCACCTCCTTATAGGGACCTCTCAGGTGACTCCACTTGGCGTCCTGGATCACGTCACTCTTCGGTAGTTCTTTGGTCTGGCTGCGTGGGAACTGAACCAGGACTTTGCAGCCGCTCTCAGGGCCATTACGCACTAAACAGACACAGACACACATTATCACTCTGACCCCTCAGTGAGGTCACAAACCCTGTTTTAGACCATGTTTGAGCAAAGGCTATTTTGTTTTAGTTTTCTGTAACTTTTTCGTGTTTCAACAGTTAGATTCCAATCAGTATTTGACTTTTAGTAAGTTTACTTTTTCATATTCATATTCATCCTTGCCTCATCATTTATGTAGTGATGTCAATTACTTATGTGGTAACACTCAGTCTTCTCACCTGAGATGGCGTACTCTCCGTTGGGGGAGGCGACAGTGACAGCAGAAGCGTTTCCAATGCTCTCCACCGGGCCCAGGCCGACGTGATTACTGAAGCTGAGAACGTGCCATCCCATTACCTTCGCTAACTGCTGGACGGCATGGACCTGATGCTGGGACATCTGTAAATACATGAATATTATATGAATATTATATATATATATATATATATATATATTACTATTTGAACTAAAAACTTTACTGAGTAATATTTTTCCTGAAATTACGAGTTATAAAAATCAAAGATTCTACTTTTTGATATTCATATTCATCCTTGCCTCATCATTTATGTAGTGATGTCAATTACTTATGTGGTAACACTCAGTCTTCTCACCTGAGATGGCGTACTCTCCGTTGGGGGAGGCGACAGTGACAGCAGAAGCGTTTCCAATGCTCTCCACCGGGCCCAGGCCGACGTGATTACTGAAGCTGAGAACGTGCCATCCCATTACCTTCGCTAACTGCTGGACGGCATGGACCTGATGCTGGGACATCTGTAAATACATGAATATTATATGAATATTATATATATATATATATATATATATATATCTATTTGTACTGAACTAAAAACTTTACTGAGTAATATTTTTCCTGAAATTACGAGTTATAAAAATCAAAGATTCTGCTGAAAAAGCAGGTGATAACATTGCAAATACAGGACAGGATATACAATATATTCCAATATAAAACAAATCAAAATCAAATCTTTGCATTTTTTTTAATCTTTGTGAAAATCTATGTTGTTTTTAGCATCAGTGAAGGTGTGCAGCCACACAGTGTTCCAGGTGATGATACCTGTGAGAGGAAGAAGTCCTGTAGCTCTTGTTCCTGGTGTGACAGTATGATGACACGACCGTCTCTGTGGACAACTCTGATCTGCTCCACACCAATGTTCATCTGCAGCTGGATGGACCTGATAAATGTCAGACAGACAGAGCTGGTAAAATGTATTTTAAGATGTATGTAGATTGAAAACTAATTGTAGTGAAAAAAAAAAGAGTATTATTTCAAACTGATCATTTATATGAATTGTTGTCTAATTTTCCAGCCTTCTCTGCCTCCTTCACGCCCACTTACTTGCAGTTCTGCTCATAGCCCTGAGATGTGATCAGCACCTTGAGGCTGGACTCGTAAACATCGTTGATATTAGACCAGTGAGCCTGAATCTGGGGGTCTTCAATCCGACTGGCCAGGCTGTCAATAGTCCGAGCCGTTCTATATGTTTGATTGATAAAGTTGATTAAGAGCAAACATCTCGACCCTATGGCTTAAAACCAAAAAAAAAATTATATTGCTTGATACACATTACACATAGTGTAAATTTCATTATAATGAGGACAAAACTTATATATATAAATAAATATATAATGTTTAACATACAAATTAATACACATTGTTGACATTGCGAGATTAACCGTTACACTACTTTATATATAAAGATATTGAAATGTGCATTTGGTCATGTGTTCCCGACAGATACGTGTCACAAACAATCAGTCAGAAACAGGACTGCAGCTTCAAAGGGCTCCGGCCTGAGGACATGGGGAACCTGCCCAACTGGATGATTCAGTGTTTACCCTTGACAGCAACATGACAGCAAAATGTCTCCCTT